CAAGGAGTAATGCAAAACTCTCTGTGTGCACCCGCCAGTCACACAGTTCATCAGGCCTCATGGTCAGTCAAGCCTTAGTACATTTGGGCTGGTTTATCTTAAAGATTTACACTTCACATTGGCTTCTGAATGCAGCAGCTTCTTTAATAGCAAAGAAACACCAGGTTAGACAGACCTTTGTTACACATTAGGTACATAGTTCTGCATCGCATTTCTATTTAAAGTAGACGGCATGAGCAGTTCCTGAGTCTTCTTTCAATCTCACGCACTGAGCTGTCCTGCCCCTCAGCTCAATCCATGCTGAGACAGGACTGCAAATCCCTCCTTGTAGATGTCACCCAAGAGTCACCCGCTGGCTGAAACGGAGGTAGCTGTGGGGGAAAGTCCCTGACTCAGTCCCATCTGGATGGAGGAGGGGTAGGGAAGGATTGTCCTGGCTGCCGCACAGCTATATGTGTTGGGGGGAGTTTGATAGAGATAGACCTGGCTGGAACCCTCCTAGACGGATCTCCTTTCCTAATGGAGGAGGTTGTGACCATCTACTCTAAAATCCCCCCACCTGGCTGCTCTTCCTCCACACTGCTCAGTTAAGTCCCATTCCCTGCCCCACACAGTCTCTGCTGGGCATGATGGGGACAGGACCACTCCCTGGTCTGATTCTGCTGGCACTGTGCCAGGCCTGCCAGCAGCCCGTCGGGCCCTGGTGGTGGCAGAGGGGTATTAGGGAGTCAACTGGGGACAGGTGAGCAAAGCATTTGCCACAGTCAGCACACCTGTAGAGCCGCTCCCCACTGTGAATGCGCTGGTGTATTCTCAGGTATTAGCTCTGTGCAAAGCTCTTTCTCCAGACAGTGCACTGGAATGGCCGTTCCCCGGTGTGCGCACTGATGTATTCAGAGATTTGAGCTGTGTGCAAAGCCCTTTCCGCAGTCAGTCCAGCATTACAGCTGCTCCCCGGTGCGTGTGGGTCAGCTTGTTGGCACTGCTGAACTTCTTACCGCAGTTGGCACAGCGGGAGAGCTGCTCCCCCGTGCGTGTGTGCGAAGATGTTTGGTCAGCGTACTGGCATTGCTGAAGCTTTTCTTGCAAACATCACAGTGGTAGGGCCGCTCCCCGGTGTGCGTGCGCTGGTGTGTTTTCAGGGTCGAGCTCTTTGCAAAGCTCTTGCCGCAGTCGTTGCAGCGGTACGGCCGCTCCCTTGTGTGCGTGCGCTGGTGTGTTCTCAGGTTTGAGCTATGGGCAAAGCCCTTGCCGCAGTCGGTACAGTGGAGCGGCCACTCCCCGGTGTGCGTGCGCCGGTGTCTTCTCAGGTTTGCGCTCTCTGCAAAGCTCTTGCCGCAGTCGGCGCAGCGGTGCGGCCGCTCCCCGGTGTGCCTGCGCTGGTGTATTTTCAGGTGTGAGCTCTGTGAAAAACACTTACCGCAGTCGGTGCAGCGGTGCAGCCACTTCCGGGTATCTATGCCCTGGTGCCTTCTCAGGGTTGAGATCCGATGAAAGCCCTTGCCGCAGTCAGCACAGTGGTGCGGCAGCTCCCCGGTGTGCGTGCGCCGGTGGGCTCTCAGGTGTGAGCTCTCCGCAAAGCTCTTGCCACAGTCGGGGCAGCGGTACGGCCGCTCCCCGGTGTGCGTGCGCTGGTGACTTCTCAGCTTTGAGCTCGTTGAAAAGCCCTTGCCGCAGTGGGTGCAGCGATACAGCCGCTCCCCGCTGTGCGTGCGCTGGTGACTTCTCAAGCTTGCGCTCGCTGCAAAGCTCTTGCCGCAGTCGGCGCAGCGGTGCAGCCGCTCCCCGCTGTGTGTGACCTGGTGCATTCTCAAGCTTGAGTTCTGGGCAAAGCCCTTGCCGCAGTCGGTACAGCTGTATGGCAGTTCCCCGGTGTGCGTGCGCTGGTGTCTTCTCAGGTACGAAAATTGTGCAAAGCCCTTTCCGCAGTCGGCACAGCGGTGCGGCCGCTCTCGAGTGTGCGTGCGCTGGTGTGTTCTCAGGTGTGAGCTCTCTGCAAAGCTCTTGCCGCAGTCAGTGCAGCGATACGGCCGCTCCCCCGTGTGCCTGCGCTGGTGTGTTCTCAGGGCTGAGCTCTTTGCAAAACTCTTGCCGCAGTCAGCACAACAATACGGCCGCTCCCCCGTGTGTGTGCGCTGGTGTATTTTCAGGACCGAGGACCATCTGAATCTTCTGCCGCAGTCAGCACAGCAATACGGCTGCTCCCCGGTGGGCATGCACCGGTGCTGCGTCAGTGCGGAGGGGTTGCTGAACCTCTTGCCGCAGTCGATACAGCGATGGGGACACCGGCCCATGGGGAGTCTCTGGTGTGTAGCCAGGTCCGGTCTCTGCCTGAGTCTGCCCCGGGGATGGACTGTGTCCTGTGCATGGATCCCTCTGTGGGCTGCGGGATTCTGCGTTCCTGCCGTGCTCTCTCCACATTCAGACTGTGTCCTCGTTCCTCCTGCGATCCTGAGCCCTGCTGGAGAGAGCAGAGGGAATCCCAGTGTTAGCTCACCGTTAGGGCTAGGGTTAGAATCTCTAACCTTGGGAGTTTAATACAAGCCTGGAGTGGCAAGTATTAAGGTTTAAAGTCCTTCCAGGCCCCCACCTTCTGCACTCGAAGTGCCAGAGCAGGGAATGAGCCTTGACAGCAGGGTTTATTAAAAATCCTGGAGCAGTCACAGTAAATTTACAGTCCTGTGATTTTACTAAATTTACTGTAACTGCTCCATAATTTCTGATACAAAACGCTGTAAGAAATCTGCAGCCTGACTCAGGGTGGTTCTACCCTATGCTGTTTGTGCAGAACCTAGCACCTGCTCCCACAGGGGCTAGGCATGTCTTGGGTCTTGGTTTAAGCTTCAATTGTAGCCTGCCCAGGATACAGGCAGCGCCTGGCACAACAAGACCCTGGTTTTGTTTTCAAACTGATTTTGTCTTTATTTCAATCAGAGGGGTTTATTTATGTGGTATTGGTTCTTCACTTTCTCCTGTTTTGTAGGATGAGGCCTGTTCCTCAGTATTTTTGCTGTTATAATTATATTGGTTTGAAACTAGTTTAGTTGAGGGGCTACAATCCCTTCATGTGGACGCAGTGAGACCAGTTTAAAGCTGCTTAGAACAATGTAGCTTATTCCTGTGGGGGAGCGAGTCCCTTTCTAGGAATTCCTTTTGAAGAAATCATTTACTCTCGGCCTGAGGTTTCAGTCTTTGTGCAAAACTAAAACTAAACTAAAATCCTCAAGAAGATGAGGGTTTTGGGGGGTGTCTGTGTGTGAAGGATTTGAGGGGATGACCAGTCACTCAGAGTTTGTGTGATGTAACCTGGAAAACATGTCTGTATTGTGTCACAACCCGCTCCCTGGCACTGCTGAGCTGGAAGGGGTGAACGGCTGCCACCCAGCCTTTGGTCTACAGACAGTCACAGACACGTTAGGGCTGAGGGCTGTGCTAAGCATTGACACTGAAGCAATGTAAGTGACAAAAGTATCGTGCCACAAAGAGCAAGAGGAGAGGGGATGGGACAAAGGCCATACTGCCACCCTCTCTCTCACAGCCAGCCCATACACCAGGGTACTCCAAGTCATGGCCCGCAGGACAATTTAATCTGGCCCCTAAATGTGTCCACTCCTCCCACAGCAGCCGCCTGGCCCGCGGGGCAGTTTTAGAGCATTACAGCGAAGTGCTGCAGGTGCTAGAGATCTGTTCTACACCATGGCGCCTCTGCATGGCGTCACCTTACACTAGTCCTATGTGACTGACCCTGCCCGGCATCATTCCCAGCTTTCTCCTTGCTCGCTGGGAACAGGTTTCTCCAGTCTGAGAGGTCACATGCGAAGTGAAGTGGCAGAGAGGGGGTGGGGTGGGAACCTGGGGAGAACAGCACCTTCTCTGCCAAGGATCAGTGACTCTGGGATGCTCTTGCAGGGGGCAGAGCCATGAAAAGCCATTTGAAAAATCTCTAGGGCGCCCTTTACCTTGGTATGATTTTCTGAGGTGTGGGAAGCCTAGCAGGTCTTGTGTTCTATGACCGGACAGGCTTGTCTTTCTACCCAGGTGCTTGTTTGCCCCCCATCAGCCAGTTCACACAGTCTCTATCTTCCTCTCCCCTCCTCCTCTCCACCAGTCTACGTACCCCATCTCCTCAGAGTGAGGGCAGGGGAGACAGGGCTCAGGAGAGCTTTCAGTGAATGTCTGACTATAGACTGATTACACACACACACTCACACTCATTGGCTCTTTCACACTCACCTCCGAACACACAGTTGTAATATTGTTGTTACTTCTTGCTACTTCCTATAATGCACATATATTCTCTAAAATTTTATTCTTCCTCAATGTGTTACTTTAGTGTTTTGACTGGTCTATGCATTTCATGATTTTTATTTCTCTTGCACTTAAATTTAATTAAATTTAATTAGTAAGTTCCAAAATACCTAAGGTCTCCTGGCTGGGGTAAATATCCCTATGGTAACTTTTAAAAAAAGTATATGTAGATTTTTTTGTGTCTACTGGTGGTACACATAACTCGATGTACATAACAAAATTTATTCTGCAAATGGATGGAAAAAATGAGAGGGAACATTGCTCACAGCCCCAGTGTCCTTTCCATTAAACAGCTGGGGTAGCCGAGACATGGTGGAGCTGCAGCGACTCTTCAAAAAAGAGTCGTACGAGAAATGGAAAGCAGGTCAAATTTCAAAAATGAGTCTTAAAAAACACCACAAGCATCTAGGGAGAAAATGAGAAAGGCCAAGGCAAAAAACAAAACTAAACTAGCAATATAAAGGGAAAAAACAAAGCGTTTTATAAATACACGGTGAGGGAGAATCCATCGCGGGAGCTCTCCCAATGGTTTATTCCCCCTCCCAGATAAACACTGGCCCCTAATTCCCAGCTTCAATTTGTCTCTCTTCAGCTCCCAGCCAGTGAATCTCGCTCTGCCTTTGCCTTCTACATCAAGGAGACCTTCGCTAGCAGGTGTGTAAATCAGAAGGGACTGGATTATTATGACTCACCTGAGGAGGGGCTCTCAGGCCCAGAGTTTACCCTGGAGATCTCAGCATCCCGGATCCAGAGCTCTGCCTCCCCTAGCTCGATCCGGTGGATTAAGTCCGGTTTGGAACCTGAAGAACCTGTTTTGGGGGAAAGTTTTATTACTAAAGTTTTGGGGGCAGGGTCTCGTTTATGTTTGTGTAGCACCTGGCATGACATCTTGCACGCTGCTTCATGGGAAAGCACAAGAGTTTCCAAGCAGGAGAATAAAGAAATAAACCTTCCTTAGAGGAGATTCCTTCCCGTCTTCCGCCAGGCAAGTTCAGTTCATACTCTGAATCAGCAACGCCTACAACCCTTCTCACATTGCAGTGGGGGCCGAGTTTAAATCCTTGCTGAAGTAACTCTAGATGTTCCATAGAAATATCCCTTTCTGCTAATACCTTGGCCTCTACGCGATCTTGTGGCACTACGTTCCATAGGACAACTGTGTGACATGGATTTTCTTTTAACCCACACTTTGGACTAAGGCAACTTTGCTCCTTGCCGACTTATAGCTGTTGAAACGTTTCAGGCATGTCATTAAGGCAAATCGGCCACAACGTGTCGTGGCAGGTGTGACCCGGTGTCACCGTTACACAGACATTCCAGTTCTTTTGCATTGTTCAGTTGTACAGTTGTTAAATTTACGATGTTCATTCTTTTGGGGGAGGTAGGGAGCTGTTGCAGCAGCAGTGTTTTCCCCCTGCCTTATTTGTCTGACTAGAATGAGTCCCTGAGGCAGAGTTGCTGCCGTCAACCTCTGGCTGGGATTCTGGGAAGAGATGGTTGCTCATCGGCTCTTTGCTACCATCAGGAATGTGCCACGACTGAGGCAGGTAATTCAAATAAACCAGTTACACCAAGATTAGCCCCAGGCTCTGTAGCCCCGAGTTCTCCTCCAACAGCGAGCTGACCTGAAAGGGGCTGGCATTTGCCACCACTCAGTGACAGGGTGCCACATGGCAGCCAAAGGCTCAAGGGAACCCAAATGTTTTACAGCTGTGAATAAATGAAGGGAAATTGGTCCTTACCCAAGGAAACAAGGGCCTGGTAATTCCTCAGCATCTGGTTCCGGTACAGCTGCTTCTCTGGCTGGGACAAGAGCTCCCACTCCTCCCGGGTGAAATACAGAGCCACGTCCTCAAATGCCACCCGCAGCTGCTGGCACAAGCGTTACACACTCAGCACCCTCCGCGCCAGCCCGGGCTCTCAGCAGGGGACGCGGGTTCTAGGGCAGCGGCTCCCGGGGAACCCCCAGCCCAGCAGCTGTGACCCAGGGAGACCCCCCCGCACAGCCCCCCGGGGACTCAGGCCCTGCTGGCCGGCGACAGGAGTCATAGAATATCAGGGTTGGAAGGGACCTCAGGAGGTCATCTAGTCCAACCCCCTGCTCAAAAGCAGGACCCATACCCAATTAAATCATCCCAGCCAGGGCTTTGTCAAGCCTGATCTTAAAAACGTCTAAGGAAGGAGATTCCACCACCTCCCTAGGCAACGCATTCCAGTGTTTCACCACCCTCCTAGTGAAAAAGTTTTTCCTAATATCCAACCTGAACCTCCCCCACTGCAACTTGAGACCGTTACTCCTTGTCCTGTCCTCTTCCACCACTGAGAATAGTCTAGAACCATCCTCTCTGGAACCGCCTCTCAGGTAGTTGAAAGCAGCTATCAAATCCCCCCTCATTCTTCTCTTCTGCAGACTAAACAATCCCAGTTCCCTCAGCCTCTCCTCATAAGTCATGTGTTCCAGACCCCTAATCATTTTTGTTGCCCTTCGCTGGACTCTCTCCAATTTATCCACATCCTTCTTGTAGTGAGGGGCCCAAAACTGGACACAGTACTCCAGATGAGGCCTCACCAATGTCGAATAGAGGGGGACGATCACGTCCCTCGATGTGCTCGCTATGCCCCTACTTATACATCCCAAAATGCCATTGGCCTTCTTGGCAACAAGGGCACACTGCTGACTCATATCCAGCTTCTCGTCCACTGTCACCCCTAGGTCCTTTTCCGCAGAACTGCTGCCTAGCCATTCGGTCCCTAGTCTGTAGCGGTGCATTGGGTTCTTCCGTCCTAAGTGCAGGACCCTGCACTTATCCTTATTGAACCTCATCAGATTTCTTTTGGCCCAATCCTCTAATTTGTCTAGGTCCCCTGTATCCTATCCCTCCCCTCCAGCGTATCTACCACTCCTCCCAGTTTAGTATCATCCGCAAATGTGCTGAGAGTGCAATCCACACCATCCTCCAGATCATTTATGAAGATATTGAACAAAACCGGCCCTGGGCTCCCCACGGGGCTCTGGGGCGGGTCGCTGGGAAGGGCCCGAATCCCAGGGCAGGGACCAGGCTCCTCCCCCGGCCGGAGTCCCCGCCTCCGCCCCAGGCCTGGGCTCGGCCCCGCTCCCGCCCCCGGCTCGGCCGCCTCGGGGCTCCTCGGCCCGGCTCCGCGTGTCCGCCCGGCCCGGGGCCCCCAGCGCCGCTCCCCGGCCCCAGCGCTCCGAGTGCGGCAGCCCCCAGCCCCGGGGTCACTAGCGCGGGAGGGACCCGGTCCCGGCCCCCTCGGCCCCAGCCAGTGCCCGGCCGGGGAGTCCCCGCCCCGCGTCCTACCTGCGCCGTCCCCGCTGCAGCCATCGCCGGGCTCGGCTCCGGCCCCGGCCGCTTCCTCCGCCCGGGCAGCGACTTCCCGCCCCGCGGCTGGTGCCTCCCCGGGGCCGCCTCCCGCCCGCTCCGCGCCCGGCCCCGCGCCTGCGCCGCCAGCTCCAGCAGCTGGGGGGGGCCCCAGCGCAGCGACCCTCCGGCCCAGCCCCCCGCCGGACGCCTGGGTCCCGAGTCCCGCCGCTGGGGGCGCTCGCGGCACCTGGTCCCCCGGCGGCAGGAGCCCGAAACGGGACAACCCGGTCCCCGCCCCTGGGCTGTGCGCGGGGCCCCGCTGTGCTGTGGGGAGCTGGGAGCCCGGAGCCCGGACTCCTGGGTCCTCTCTTGGCTCTGGGAGGGGAGCGGGGACTAGTGGGTACAAGAGGGCCTCGGCCAGGCTGTGCAGCGTGGGAGTGTCGCAGTAACACACGGGTCGGGCTGTGGTTGTTGATTGGCTGTGTGAGGTTGGTGTGTGCATCTGAGGAGATCAACCCCCAGGCTGTCTGTGGGTCTGAGTGGTACAGGAAGGCTGTGTAACGTGAGTGTTTTACAGATCACAAGTTGACTGTGTAGTGTGTGTGTGTCACAGTAAGACAAGGCTCTGGATGTGTGCTGTGTTTGTTGTTATGCTGTGTGATGTTGGTGTGTGTGTTACTTACAGGGGATCACAGCCTGGGGTGTGGTCCCCTGTAATGTGCGTGTTAGACGACAATTGTGTGTGAGTTAGAGGAGGGCGGTGTGTTCATGAGTGTTACAGGAGCTCACACGTGGCTGTAGTGTGTTTGTGTGTTTCAGGAGTTCACACCCATATCACTGCCCAGTGCCATGGGGAGGGCAGGTGCCCCATACAGATGCCGTGTTCTGGCCTCGGTGCTGGCACTGAAGCAGCTGCCCCTGCCCCCCGCTCATTGTGCCGGGCCCTGCACACCTCAGGTGTCCCACCGCGCTGGTGACAACATCAAGGGCCTGCGGGAAGCCAAGCACAACCCGCTCTTCCAGAAGCTTGTCATGCTCCTGCACTTTGCCCACAAAGGTATGGGGAGGAAGGGATGGATCCTGTGTCTGTGTGACACAACCCCAGCCAGAGGGAGTGCTGCAGAGCCCTGTCAGCTTCCCAGATAACAGCTAACGATGGCTGAAGAGGGGAAGGGCCCTGGAACAGGTAGTTTGGGGCAGAGAGGGTCACCAGGGGCCTCAGGACTCCGGGGTCCTATCTCCGCTCTGCAAGGGGATGGCGGGTTATAGCAGAGGGCTCAGAGTCAGGACACCTTGATTCTATCCCAGGCTCTAGGAGGGGAGTGGATCGTGGTGGGTTGAAGCAGAGGGGGCTCGCAGTCAGGATTGCCCTCGAGTGGGGTCCCAGCTGTATCTTCCTTGTGACGTTCCATCTCTGTGCATTGCAGCAGGGGGACCCAACCCTGATTTCAACACCAACCTGGCAAACATCACTGAGCAATGCCAGAGCATGGTCTTGACAAAGCATCCACTGAGGTGGCCATCAAGGGAAGGGTTCGTAGCTGCGTCCTGTCAGCCGGCCTCATGGGCTGCAGCCTTTTTGAATTCTCTGGTCAGGCCTGACCTTGCCGAGGTGTTACAGGTGTCACCCTGGATGCGGCAGGTACGTGGATGGGATGGATGCGGATGAGCTGTCTTTCACGATTTGCTGACTCGTGATCTGAGGACCGTGCTAACGCCACTGCGATCGGCTGCCTCTGTGACGGAGAGCATTGTGGTGACGTCACGCAGTTCCTTTTAACGGTTCTGTGCCGGGAAGACCTGAGGTAAACTGTCAGTTACAGAACCAGTTCAGAGTGGCCTGTTAGCTGCCCTTTCCCGCCAAAGTTCAAAAAGGGTGCAAAACCACCACCACCCAGCTGAAACAAGATGGAGTCTTGTTGCTTGTGGCAAAGAGATGCCATATTAAATGTCTGACTCCATATTGGATAATCACCATTTTAGTGATTATGAGGGGATAAAATCAGAAAACCTCATTAAAAACACTATAAAATTACAAGATACAAATATATTAAAACTCTTAACAGGGGGCGTTCGCCACCTTGAATGAAGGAGAGAGGCTGGGTTTGTAGTTATGATGCTGGGCTGGACTACAGGACTCGTGGTTTCTATTCCTAGTTCTGCCACTTGGTCCCTCTCTGACCTTGAGCAAATCACTCAGGTCAATGGTTCCCAACAAGGGTACAGATACCCCTGGGTGTATGCTGAGGGGGTGCACCAGGCAGTACACCATCTCATCTAGAGAGTGGCCTAGTTTTACAACAGGATACAAAAAGCACTCGCAAAGTCAGTACAAACTAAACTTTCATACTGACAATGACTTGTTTATACCACTCTATATACTATACACTGAAATAGAAGTTCAATATTCATATTGCAATTGATTCATAATTATATGATAAAAATGAGGAAGTAAGCATTTTGTCAGTACTAGTGTGCTGGGAGAC